TATATATATATATATATATATATATATATATATACAGACGCTCAGGTCGTATTCACGTATATGGTCAACCAAATCAGTTCACAGGAACCGACAACCAGGCACCAGCACATGTAATTTGGTGGTGAGGGCTTTTTGTAGAACTAACTAAATTTTTGAGGGGCAAACAAAATACAAAAACATGGGGGAACTCAAGCCACAAGGTCCCATGACGACAATCCTCAGGTTTTGAATTCTAATTGAACAGCTGACATCCAACGTTATAAATTGGAGGGTGCCCTACTATTTACCTGTAGCTGAGGAGAAGAAGATTAATAATTATATATATATATATATATATATATATATATTATATATATATATATATGACTAATATAACAAAGTGTATATGATTTTTATTTTCTACAGATTGGTTTAGAATATATATAAACAGTGATTACTTTATGAAACTTTTCACAGACACGGACGAGTGTAAGCTACATGAATATTGGAAAAGTTTAATTTGCATCATGATGATTCGCTCCTGGCATCCAAATACCGCTAACACGAGATGTGCTGAATGACTTTTGAACATCGTGAAAAAAAATCGTGAAATGGAGAGCTGCAACGTAGATACGAGACCGTGGTTTGTAGTAAAGAACACAACAGATATTCTGCTTGCCTCCGTACATCAGAGTTCATCCAACAAAATCAGGAGAAAGTGACAGAAGACCAAGACATGGTCTCAAGCAGAAAAAAGATGAAGTTTTTTAAAAAAGTTAAAAGGAATCATGGCTGCAGAGGTTGCCTACTGAACATTTCTGTAAGTGGCAAATAATTAGCATCCTATTTGAACATAGAAGAAAAGTCAAAAATGGTAATTTAGATAATATCCGAAATTTAGCACCTGGAACGACTGATTGTAATGATTCTCCTGATTGTAAATAGACGGATTCTATTAATTGGGCGTGTTTGAGAAAGATACTGGACTTTATTAATTAGATAAACAAGGAGATTGACAGGATTAAGGAGATTTTCACCCTTAGAGCCAGAACCGTGAAGGCAATATGTCCTTTAATATTCCAAGGAGTCGGATTGAGGCCGTAGATAGAAAAATTTGTCTTTTATGCCAGAAAAGTATCTGGATTATTATAATGTGTATGACACTTTTCTCTATTATTCCAATAAATTAATATTTGGAATATTTTTGAGATATTCATTGTGTTTTCCCTTAAACCAAACTCTATCAAATATATCCTGAACACATCTATAATATTATATATATATATATATATATATATATATATATATATATATATATATATAGTTGTATATTTAAAAAGCATCAAATCTTCCTTTTATGCATGTTTCATTAAAAACGACAGAAAATACTACGGTTGAGCTTTTTATTTAATTTTTCTTGTGTTGGACAAGAGCTTTTTTCTGGATAAAGAGTGTGTAAGATATGTCCGAATATTTTGTATTTGCATTAGCGCTTCAACATGCCTTTAAACATTTTAACGTTAAGGATAATTGATCCATCAGACTTATTTAAGTGTGTTCTGTGTATGTAGACTCCATTGAAACATACTAGTAAAAAACACAAATATATTAACTGCATCCACTTGCAAAAAAGACTAAAAATAATGGAAGCTTTAATAATAAAAAGAAAAGCCAACTCTTAACAATATTAACTATGAACAAAGCCACAATGTGCTAACCGTATTCGGAAATTAAAACATCCCTACCACACACTAAAATATACACATAACGCACACACTCAATTAAGCTGAAAAATCGAATCATCCTTGATAATGGCTAAAGGTATAGCCGAAAGCGCTCGGAAATATAAAACATTTGGACAGTTCTTACACACCCTTTGTCCAGAAAAAAAGAAAGCTCTTGTTCAGAACACAAGAAAAATTAAATAAAAAGCTTAACCGTAGTACCTTGTCTGTCGTTTTAATGAAACATGCATAAATAATATATATATATATATATATATATATATATATATATATATATATATATATATAATATATATATATAAATTTATGATATATAAAACTTGTATTATATTTAAAATAAAAAAACATTTTTAAAATATATTATATTATAACCATTACAGAACCCTTTATCTATTAAAAAATTATAAATATTCATATAAAATCTCTCATTTATAAATTTTCATTTATTTAAATAAATTATATATATATATTGAATATATTTATGATTCTCATATATATATATATATATATATATGCATATATATATATATATATATTGATATAAATATAATTTATTTGACAATTTTGATGATTAGGGTTATATAGATAAAAATATAACTTTTTTTTATTTTTTTTTATAGACGGATCTATTATATTTGAATTATTAGATAGATATTGTTTCAGCCTGAATAAATAGATAATTATGGAAAAAATTGATAAAAATATATATATATATAAATATATAACCCATATTAAATATATTTGATGAAAACATTATTCTATACTAAAATATTTTAGGAAGATAGGTGTTAGAATAAATGAAATCATGAATAGATAGATTGATTGATTGATATTTGAATTCAAATTATTATTATAAAAATTATTTGTAAATTACTTATTTTATGTGGTTTTATGATAAAAAATAAAAGGCCTTCAAGTTTATTATATCATTATTTAAATTCATCCAAAGATTTTAATTTTGGATTAAATGGTTGATTCATTCATTTGATTTAAATCATAGGTCTCAAAATAATATTCTCTTGTATAAAAGTCTGAACTAAAACAATCATCTAGAATATATAAAAAAAATCGTCATTATATGATTTTACAATTTTTTATCAAAATGTAAAATTTCACATTAATAATTTTTTTTGTGTAAAAATTTTCATTAACAAAACCTATTAAAAACTTAATGAAAGAATGTTGTCTTTTAAGATATGTTTTTTATCTATGAATAAACAGAAGAAGTTTTTACACATTAATTTATATATTTTAATGGAATTGTTCTTCAAAAATAAAACATTTGGACAAGTTTTCAAAACATTTGAGGCGTAGGGTTTGTAAAATATTTTTTTTTAATTTGATTCTTGATAATTTACAAATATACCTTGATTTTTCATTTTTTTAAGGAATTTTCAATATATATCTGGTGACTTTATTTTAATAATTATCCATAAAATTATATATATATATAAAATATATATAAAACAAACATGTTTAAAAAACAGGTGGAGAATGCGTTATTAATTTGTCACAAACAGATAAAGATTCCATTTCCATGAATTTAAAATCAAAAAATGAATAATATACAAACAATGAGGAATTTGGTCATTGATAAAATAATATTTTAAAAAATACATTTATATGATATGCAAATATATATATATATATATATTACTGAATTTTAAAGATCCACACACGGGATTTGTTTAATATTACATGATATAAATATATATATATAATATATAGATTAATATATATATATATATATATATATTTATACATATATATATTTTGTTATCATATATAATTAAATGTTCATTAATACACACATATATATATAATTATAATTTAAATTCAAATATTTATATTATTTTTATTGATATTTATGTATATTTTTATTTTTTTTAATTTTTCAAACTTTTAACTAACGATTTTTTAATTTTTTTTTCTTTGACATAATATTTTTGTCTTTTATAAAAGAATTTATCGGTTTATTTTGATAATTTTATCTGAATATATTATATATAAAAAAAAATCTTTGTGGAATTTTTCCTATAAAAAAACAAATTCTTTCTTTTGCAAAGTTTTTGTTATAAAAAGGATTGTTTAATTTTTCTCAAAAAAAATTGGGTTTGTGTTTGACTTAATAATTTCATATTCCTTGTTACCTATATATATATGGAAAATATATAGATAAAAACATGATAGATTCATACAAACAAAAAAGCCAATTAAAAAATAAAAAAATGTAGAGGGAATTTAGATAAAATTGAAAATATTCTTTCATGACATTTAAAAATATATAATATATTTATATTGAAGCCATTGAATATATATTTTGATGAAATAAATTTCCACATGCTATTAAAAAATTAAAAGAAATCTATTTATAACAATTTAAATTTCCAATATATATCGGATATATATATATATATATATATTTTATAAAATTTGATTTAAAGGATTTTTATAAAGGAAGTGTAAATTTTTGATTATTTTTTTTGTAATTTATAAAAATTTTTTCTCAAATAAAAAATTATTTTATGTATTTTCCAGTTTTTTTTTTCAATATATAATTTTTTTATTATTTTTTCATAAAAAAAATTTTAATAAAAAAAATAATCAATATAATATATATATATATATATAAACAATGAAAAACCTCAAATTACAAAATACAAAAAACAGAAAGGATAATTTAACGAAAACAATTATAAAAGTGAATGAAAACATATGTCTTAAATAAATGGTTTTACAGTGAACATGAGCTATCCATTAAAATTATCTAAAGACAGGATTTATTCTTCTCCCATTTTATTTATTTTGCTCTAAAAAAAAACATTACGATGAAGTAATGAATTTATGAAATTATTTGATCTTACTGAATGAAAAGCGGTATTTTATTTTAATATTTAAATTTTTAAATTCAGAAAAGAATTTATAATTTTATAAGATACATTATTTTTTTTCCTGGGGAAAAAATCTTCTGAAAAAGTAAAGAAACCATTTCCAATCAGGTTAAAGATTTGTTTAAATTTCCACGGGAATGTTGTTGAAATATCTGAATAAGATTGTATAAAGGAGAATTCAATTTAAATTAAGGAAATTTTCAAGAGATTTGCAAGCAAGATGGAAATTTTAATTGAACCAAAATTTAAAAAGAAAGAATCAAAGAAAAAAAAATAGAAATGAAAATTTTTGAAAAAATATTAAAGAAAAATAAATGCAATATAAAAATGAAAAAAAAAAAAGAAAGAAGAAAAAGAAAGAAATTGTAAAGAAAAAATGTTTATATCAAAGGAAGAAGGTTGGGAAAAAGAAAGAGAATAAAAAAAAAGAAGAAAAATGAATGGTTGGGACATTAAAAAAAGAAAACAAAAGAAAAGAAGGATTAATTTGCGTTATCAAAGATATCTTAGAATAGACAGATGATTTTTTGTTTGGATTGATTTATTTTTGAAAGAATAAGAATCATAAATGGTGAAAAAACGGGTTATTTAAGAAGACAAGATTTTAGATAATAATAAATGTGAAATATATATGTTTTAGATAGAGAAATCAGATTACAAGAGATGAAGATTCATTGACTAATATATTTTTTTAAAATTTCATTTTTTTGAGAAACAAAATTTCCATTGAATTAAACCATTTTTTTAGAATATTTTTCATATTTTCAAATATCTGTTTTTTTATATAAAAAACTATATTTTTTATTTTCATAGTGTTTTCTTTCAAATTTAGGATTTATTTATTTTATTCTTGAATTTTTTCTAACATAAACAAAGAAAAATATAAAGAAAGAAAGAAGAATCAAGAAAAAAAATATCGAAAGAAAGAAAATCATAGAAAGAAAGAGATAGATATAAGAAAGAAAGATAGAAAGAAAGAAAGATTGAAAGAAAGAAGAATATGGGGATGAAAGATAAGAGGAGGATATTTTTTGAATTTGATTCAATGAAAGAAAGATAAAAGAAAGAAAGAAAGATTCATTCTGAAAGAAAAGAAAGAAATAAAAGAAAAGAAAAAAGGAAAGAAGGAAGAAAGAAGAAAGAAAAAGAATTTTAAAGAAAAGAAAGAAAGAAAGAAAGAAAAAAGAAAGGAAAATAAAGAAAGAAAGAAAGAAAATAGAATTCATTTAATGAAAGAAAGAAGGAAAAAAAAAAAATAGTGGAAAAAAACAGAAAGGGAAAAGAAAGAAAGAAAGAAAAGAAAGAAGAAAGAAAGAAATAAAGAAAAAAGAAAAAAAGAAAGAAAGAAAGAAAAAGAAAGAAAGAAAGGAAAAAGAAAGATGAAGGGAAATGAAAAGAAAGGAAAAAAAAGGAAATTCCTTAAAATGCTAAAAAAAGAAAGAAAGACAGAAAGAAAGAAAGAATGATGAGTGGGAAACTAGTAAAAAAAACAAAAAGAAAAGTAAAATGAAAAGAGCATGAAACCTAAGGAGGAAAAATAGAAAGCTAGAAAATCTCAAAAGAGAAAATTATATAAGAATGATTGCTAATGGAAAATGGGAAAAAGAGAGAAAGAAGAATAGGAAAATCAAATCATCGGGAAAAAAATGTAATATGAAGCAACAAAAAAAAAAATTTAATAATGACAAAGGCCGTATTAATAGACAAAATAAAATAAATCTATAAAGAAAGGCAGAAAAACAGATGAAAAATGAAAGCATAAATGGAAATGTAAGATAAATGACCACGTAAACGTCACAAAGAGCAACAAAATAAAACTATTTCTGTAAGAGGAAAACGCCTAATGAAATAAGCTGAAAAGTAAATATTTTTGTCAGTTAATAAATTACTGGTGGAAATGCATTCATAACGATAACGAAAGAAAGAAATCAGTTTTGGCAGAGAAATAGCATATTACAAAAATAAATCTTTTTTAACACAAGAAAAAAAAATTAAAAAACGTAAAAAAGTAAAAAAAAAAAAAAGAAAAGAAAACAGGTTTTATGTAAAGAGTAGCGAGAAATGTTCTGTTTATTAGCAAATAATAAAGAATTAATGATTACACCGAACGCAAAAAATAAAGAAATAAAGTTTTTCTTCTTTATGTGTTTTTTCTTCCTCAGGACGTAGTCGACAATGGTTCTCCACAACTTCTTCTCAGTTTTAGATAACATTTTGTTTTTGTGTTATTTCTCTATGTTCCTCTATCCATTTACTCAAGTTCACTAAGGCTTTGTTTTTCGTCTCTCACTTTTGCCTTCCTGTGAGCATCTGATTTTCCAAGCTCTCTTTCCTCATTATGTACCCTATTTATGTGTCTCTTCCTCGTATTAATTTTGTTTCCCTTTTGTTTCCATTTTCTCTAAAACTTCGTCTTTATTCATATACTCCGTCTACGGCATCCTCAACATGGTTTTGTAGAATCACAGTTCTATTGCTTCAAGTCTCTTCTCCATCTTTAAGTTGTCGGTGCAGTACTTCCTGATGTACAGAAGGACATATATCATGTAACTGTTTATTTTCTTTCTGATGTATCGTTGAAGAGGTTACAAGCAGACAAATGTGGTACTCGACTGAAAGAACAGCAAAACGCGCGTAGATAAAAGAAGAAATGATTTTTTTAAAGAGAATATACTACTGAATGACCAGAAATCGTGTGGCAGACTAGTAAATCCTGAAGCACTCAGGTAAATCCTGTGCTCACTATATATATAGCTACTGATATAGTCAGTCCACATTGGTCATATGGATTGTAGGACATTCCATTACAACATTATCTTTCTAGCGAAGATTTATTTATTTCTTTGTAATTTTGCTTAGTTTTTCTGAACATCTCTGGCTATTCCAATACACATTCGGGTTTCAGTGTCGCAGTTTCAATCCTCTGTTAAAATAATGCCTAGATCTTTAACGTTTTGTTTTTATTTGATTTTGGTACGCAGAAACGAGAAGGAAGAATAGAAAGACGGTAAATGAAATGAAAGATGGTTTCAAAAATCATCAGCAGCAATGACTAAAAAGACATACTGGCAAAAGAAATAAAGAAAATAGTGAAATAAAAAAAAACAATGAAAATTGCATGGTAAATTTAAATACAAATGATATAAAATAAATAAACATCACGATCAAGATATAAATTTACTACAGCAACAATTGGGCATGTTTTCTGTAAGATCGACTGACTGAAAACATCGGCTTACAGGTTCATTTCGAATGATGAATTATCACCCTTTCATACTAGTTGTTCTGCCAAGACTAACGAACCGAGTATTTTCCTATAATTAGCAAAGGTTTGAATTTAGTTACCTTTTTGACTGGAGTCCAGGAAATGTTTAGAAAAAAAATCGAGTTCACCTTAAACAAGACATTAAAGCCACTAGAATATAAGGGGTTACTGGCTGTGGAAGAACTTGAAAACAGAAATATTACTAAGGGACGAGAACAATAGAAAAGTAATCAGGAAGACAGTAGATAGCGATTGACATTGCATTTAAATTTCTGATGATTAAAGTTGCTGGAAAACATGGAACCGGAAGCGATTTCCACAAGCGAGAAGTGCGAGCAATGAAACTGTTAGCATAGAACTTACTATTATATCTAAGCAAATCATCTGTAAATTGGCGAGATCTCGACGTCAGTCTCATACTGCGCTTAAATTCAAAAAGTCTAGTTAAAATAGAGATTTCTCAACCGAACAGTTATCATGAAAGTACTTATAGAAAAGACACAGGGAGGCAAATTTACGGTGTTGACAAATTCACTGAAATTGAGACGTCAAGTCAGGACGAGTAATATTTCTGATTCCTTTTTGGATTTTATCAAGGTTCTCTAAATATATAGCAGGTGAACCGGACCATAAGTGCGATCAATATTCCAAGGATAGACGAAGGGTAGACTTATACATACGTAAGATGAATTCTGAAGAGGAAAATTGTCTAACACGATACACGGCAGGCGAAGGTAATCATGTGAAGAAGGAGGGGAGAACCAAATTTCTTAACAGCTGACCTAACAATAGATTCGGTATTCCCTTTCCAAATCATGTCAGCTGAGGATGTTAGCCTGAGAAGTCACTCATTTGGTGGTTAGCATCAGTCATGCCGATTAAATGCAGATAAAGGAAAATAGATTCATCTCTTTTCCAACGACATTAGTTCGAATTGAACGAAACGCGTTGACTGACTTTATTCAGTTTTAGATGTCCCTAAGCTCTGACGTACACGATATCTCGGTATATGGATGAGCAAAAATAGAAATTTATTTTCTAAAATTGAAAATATAAAGCAGCCAAATCAACCTCGAGGTCGATTCTAGATATATGGAATCGCTGTTAATCTGAAATGAACAGTGCAGACTTTTTTTATAAGGTACATAAAACCACCAAATTTTTACCCTGATTTTATCGAAACCTGTCACCATATTTTTCATGTTTGGCTGTGATCGGATCTCGATATTTGGAACCACTGTCAGTCTGAAATCAACCACCGAGTTGTTAAGCTGATTTTATCAAAACATCTTACCACATTTTTTATATTTGGCTGTGTTGCATTCACCTTTATATATATTCTTATCTATTATGGTCCGTATTTTTATTTCTTATACTACTAAATAATAATTACCGTTATAATAATATTTATTTATTTATTTATATCATAGTGTAAATGGAGAGAAATTATTGACTTTTCTTTAGATATTTTTTTAAGATTTTCAAAAACAATAAAATATTAAATCGAAATTTTTTTTTATTTGCTGACAGACAAAATTTGTTCCTTGAAAAAATTAACCGTTTAATTAATTCATTCTATGACTACTACGTTAAAGAAATGCAAAACTCTTTCATTCACACCTTTCTTGGCTTTATTCAGATAACTTTTGTTTTCTAATTAATGTTTTCTTTTTTCAAACTTTGTCTTGAAAAAGATCTTGGCTTTTTTTGTCCTAGGGTTTATCGTTCTGTTGAATCAAATGTTTTTCAACAGAAATCTAAGGAAAAATAATAATAATAATAATAATAATAATAATAATAAGTTTATAATGAAAATGTGGATATTGAGCAAAAAAAAAAATCACCAAAAAAAAAAGATTTAAGATAAATAAGAATTTTTATAAAATCAAATGAACCCATTTTGTCATCTTCAAACAAATATAAACTTTGGAATGACGATTTTGGAAGTTTATTGGTTTCTATAGGTTATGACTTATGGAGTTATCAATTTCTTAATACATTGTTCAAAACTCAAACATGAAATCCTTTTTTTTAAAAAAATCAATCCAATCAGGAAAGAAAGTTTGAACATTGCAATTTTAAAAAGGAACCACGGCTTTGAGATCGTTGATTTGATGGCAGAATATCATATTTTGTATCTCAGTCGATTTTTTGAGGACATGAGCGATCATGGAATAAAATCTTATTAATAATAATTTTATTAAAATTATTATTAGAAAATTATTCCTTCATATCTTCTGTCATCCATGTACAAAATCTTGTCAAAGGTAAAAGAAATGTATATTACTTTCTCTCTCCTATAGTCATAATGACTCTTTCCTCATTATGTGTCTTAGAGATCTCAACGAAATTTTCAGATTCATTACTAAAAAATTTAATCATTTTGTAAGTCAAATTCCTAAAATAAAGATGAATTACATATTTCAGTCCATGCTATATTTAGCAGAGGTAGAAGATAAATTTTGTTATATTAAGATTATCTTCTTCATTAAGTGAAGATGAAAAATAAAATATAATAATGAAAAGAAAATAGGAAAAAAGAAATTTAAGGAGAATAAATTAAAGGAAAGAAAAGAAGAAAAAAATGAAATTTTCCTGTTTCTCCAAGCCTGCATAAATAGGTTTTGAAAGACAAATTTAAAACTATTCAAAATACGGAGAAAAATTTGAAGGAATATTTTAAGAAAAACTTTTTAAAAAAAAAAAAGGAAAAATATTTAAATTTTGTTCTTTCTTGAATTATAACAGGAGAATTATAGTTCGAACAAAAGGATGAAAACATTGTCATATGGAAAGATAAACAAAACTACCAGGCTTTAAACTTTTTATTTACTAGTTACCCATGAAAAGAAGGAAAATGTATAAATTAACAATGATTATAGATACCTAAAAAAAAAGGCAAAAAAGTCTTATCAAAGAAATATCCTTTTTCTTGTTTTGATTTAGCGATAATTTGAAATCCAGAATACATAACCGCTCAGAAACATCCAAAAAAAAAAAAGTTAAATATTAAAGAATTGAAAAAGGGAAAAGCTGGAATAAATAAATAAACGAGTCGATAAAAAAAACCCGGATTCGACCTACAAGATTGCTCAAAATCGTAAACGGATATTGACAAGGACTTTTGTACACTTTTATTCTTGCAAAAGAGTTACTACTGGTGTGATTCGTAAGAGTGAACAACGTTGATTCAACAACAACAACAATGGTAATAGTAGGTCGTAATAAAATTATTATGAAATTTGTTAAACAACTGTTTTTACAAAAATGGAATATTATCAAAAAAAAAAAAAAAAATATATATATATATATAATATAATTTAAATGTCAATAAACAATGAAAAGAAAAAAAAATCCTGTCAATTGACTAGCCTTAAAAATATACCGTAGGAAAGCCAAAGAAAAAAAATCGAAATGTGCTTTTGATTTAGGAAAACGATGATAAAATTTATTCAAATAAATTGATCTCGTGCTTTTTTGATTTGCAGTCTTGGATTTTTCGGCACCATCCTAAAGAAATTACATTATATCCAACACAAAAATAATAATAAAATATAAATAAAGAACTATGAAAAATCAAAATTTCATCTTTTATGTTCGAACAAGTTTTCTTGACGACTACGTGACAATAGTTTGAATGTCGTTATGTCGTTCACCAAGCGGTGAAAGATACGTTTACGGCATCAACATAGATCAATTTTTTCAGAAAAAAGAACGAGCGTGTTTTTTGCAATAAAAATAATAGAATGAAAAAAACCCCAAATTTGTCAACAATCAAAGGAAGCTTGATTCTTGATTAACCTGCCCTCATTACAAACTTAGATTCCCTTCCAGAACTAAATTCGCAACGCAATGAAACAAAACCTCCCATCAATCCTAAAAAAGGTCTAAATCATAAAAACTTAATAACAGCTCATTACAGTCAATTTTTTTCTCGGAAATTGGGTTTTTTTTGAGATGATTACTTTTTTTAATATGTTTTTTGTAATTAAAAAACCCCATTTTTCTTGTCCCCTCCTTCTTTAACCAATCAGTTATCTTTCTTTTGCCCAACACGCATTTTACGTTGTTTTCTTAACTTTTCCTGTTGATCATGTCTTCTTATTCATTTGTCATTTCACTAATTTTTTAATTTTCTATTCGAATTCCTTTTTTAAAATGACAGACTACACAAACGTATCTTGATTTTTAATCATTTTTTTTTTCCTTTATGCAGATTGTATTTTTTTTGGTTTATTTTCTGTCTTTTTTTTTATTTGTTTTTCTATCGTAATCTTATCAATCAAATTCTTACGGTCTCTCTGCTTTTTCTTTCTTTTTTTAACCAAATTTTTTTATTCATCTTTCATTCGTTTCCATCAAACTATTTCTGTTTTTATCTGAAATCAATTTTTTAATTTATTTTCTTATTTCTGTTCTGTATGTTTTCATATGTTATTTAAACAGGTCGAGAAAAGCGAAAATGTATGTTCTTGCTACGTAGAAAAGATTTTATTTTTATCAAATGAGATTAAATGAAATATATATATATATATATATTTATATAAAATATATATATATATATATATATATATATATATATGTGTAAAATGTGTGTGTGTGTGTATTTGTGGATGTTTGTGTAAGAATATATAAAGAATAACGTTTATCACCTCATATATATAAAAATATATATATATATATATATATAGAAATGATATTTATCTATATTATCTATTTTCTATCTATTGAATATATATATATATATATATATATATATAGATAAAAATCCGAGA